TATATATATATATATATATATCAAATGATTCGACCCGATTACCCATTCCCGTTATCCTCACTCTCTATCCCTAAAGCATCTAATTCGAGGGACCTATCCTAACGATCGTCTTCAGGGTAGACAATAAGGCTCAGTGGATTCCTTAGCAATATATGTCAATAAGGAAAACATGTGAGGATGGAGTACACCTGGTGAACACTTAGTTCAAAAGCATCTACAGGTTGCCAGCCTGCTAGCGTTCCACTGGACTATCTAGATTACTATGTGGTCCTCATTTATACTCAGTTAGACGACTAGATCATATTTAAAGTCAAGGCCTCACATCATCTATTACATCTTTCATCTCTCATCATCTATATCATCTTTTATCAACCCATCTCTACTCAATATGTTTATAGGTATAAAAATACATATAGAGTTTAAATTCAATAAATCAACTTCTTGATTATTTACTCTACAAATTGCATTACTTCTCTATCTCTATATCTCTCTCTCTCTCTCTCTCTCTATATATATATATATATATATATATATACAGTTTAAATTACACGAATCGTCCCTTCTGCAGGTGTTAAAATACACGTTCTGACATTCCGAATTTCACGATCAGAAAAGACCGATTTTTTTATGCTTATTTAAAACGAAAGTATCCTTTTTGAAGTATAATATTATGGAATTTGTTCCCAAAAACATCATAATTATATTATCAAATCATTTCCAAAGAAATGTATTTTATTTATATTAAGAACCGTGAGATGTCATCCTCAATACAGTACATAAGCATAAACGGAAATAATAGAGGCCTCTGGTCATCTATTACGTTTATCATATCTCATCATCTCTCATCATCTTTTATCTACCCATCGCTACTCAATATATTTATAGGTATAAAAATACATATATAAAGTTTAAAATTCAATATATCAACTTCTTGAATATTTACTCTACAAATTGCACTAATTCTCTCTCTCTCTCTCTCTCTCTCTATCTATATATATATAT